CCAATGCATTAATCCAGTCTTAACCGTACCGCTAGTTCACTACCCAAAGTGTCGACCCTGCCGAGGCCAATGTAGTTCCTGGGACTTGGTGACTTGAGGGGACTTGTGCTCTTCGGTGCAAATTCTGCTCGAGAGCGACTTGCCGGGGCTTGGTGGTCTTGGATCACGCGTGGGGTCAAATCTGTTTCCACAACGCAAGTCGATCGAGGCCAATATGCTCTTCCTCCTCGAGATTCCAGACCACTTGCGCTCCACGGTGCAAATTCGACTCCGATTTATGTTTAGCTGGTCTCTCCCTAATGCTACCATCTTGCTTACCCTCCTACAACCACACGATTACTGGATTCTTGCCCCGACTTCGTCCTCCATGTGCGTCCCATCATGGTCGATCCACGATCGGCCCCGATCGGCGACCCCAATCGGCGACCCACGATCGGCGACCCACGATCGGCTCCCGATCCACGATCGACCCCGATCGGCGATCCACTCCCGATCGATGACTTATGCCGGTTGCCATGCGCCGCCGATCTATCACCTTCTGTCCTCGGCCATCTCAGATCCGCGGGTTCTGTCGTCGATCTGGACTTGGGTCGGCCACGAATCACGCCGCGGTTCGGGCACGATCACCCACAATCCGGCTTGCCACATGTCCTGCCTTACGCGCCGGCGTCGTCGGACCACCTGAGATCTCCCGAAGAACTCCTTCTGATCCGTAGATCCTTGCTGCCTGTCTCTCGATCGCCGATCTCCCACGCCTCCAGTCGATCGGCCCTGCCGCCTTTCTCGGAGAACAATTCAGCACTTCTCCACAGTGTCGTCCCAGACGGCGCCGCGGTAGTAGCAGCAACATCGCGTTGCTCCATCAGGATGAAACCCTGTGTTGCTGCAGCATCGTAGCTACAGCCGCCTCACCAATGACTGTTGACAGTCGTTGGAGGGCCTCCCACTCTGGGTCCGACAGGTGGAGACAGTCAGCGCGTGCAACGTGAGTTGCACGCGTAGTGAAGCTTTCCATGGGCACCTCTGTATACATGGGAAGGTTCTCAGCTCCGCGTTCGTGCGGTAACGTAGGAATGTTCAGGTAGTCGGTCGTTGGACGGGCTTCAAAGTGCTACCAGGTGTAATGGGCCTACTTTGGCTCACTACTTCAGCTTACACGTGTACGCACATCTGTGAGGAAGCGTAGCTTGGTTTAAACTAGAGTTAATTATACTCGGACCTCCGAGTATAGATTAATCTAAATAAACGATCCAAATAATGTTTTTGGGTTAAAATGAGAACTGCTATTTTTGTTTTATGTTTCTGACTTCCTCTAAATGTAATATTCTAAGTTAGGAATCTGCCAACCAGCCGTTGGCAGAATTCCATTGCTATGCATGTCGCTCATTGGCTAAAAGATGCTGCTCTCAGCCAATAGGAGTCATACGTCTCTATGGACCATGGTCGTAAATGTATGTAGCCATTGGTGTACCTTAAACCAAGGTCGAGGAAGTGTTCAAACCTCTAACAGACATCGCATCTGTTAGCGTAACAAGTGACTGTAGCGTGTAACCCCGTTACACAGTATCCTGGATGCTCATCTTCGACATGGCGGTGGTACAATTCAGGGTGTCGATGGCTTGATGTATTCGAGTAACTTCACGCTCAGGCTGCTGTGGGTTTGAAGTACCTTGGGGTGTCTTGGCCTCGCCAAGCTCTCCGGGATACGGTCACCAGGGGCACTTCAGGGTCTCCCTTCGTCAGACTAGGTCGGGGCAGGACTGAGTACTGCACACCTCCGGCCAGTTGAGGTCAAACGTGACCAGGCATCCGTACTCCACATCTCTTCCATCATGCTCGGGCGTTCCACAGGTACGCCATCCTGGATCTACCCTTTCCCCCCCACTGTTGCTCTCCCTGGATCGGCGCCGGGACCAGCTGCGCGGGTACACTCCGAAATTTCAAGTCGCCTCGTGTCAACCGCCCCGCTGGCTACGGACTGACACTGAGGAAAACACCATCGAAGTGTCAGACCATGGGCAGACATCCACAAGCGCGCAGCCATCCCGGACGGTCGGGCATTCCGAATCGAACGGACGCCGTTCGTCTTCCCAAATTGGCGAGCGCATTAAGTACGATCTCCATTCCAACTGTCGGATGCAAATCCATTCTCCGAGAAAGGCAACCACGCTCAAAACGCAAAATCCTCTCGCTCCAGCAACTGATGAGCGACGCAGACTGCAACGCGGGCCAGGCGTCTGATGGACACGTCCCTGCACGCGCCACCGACCAACTCCCGGACGCGCCTCCCACTGGAGGGGGTGCTCCGGGCCGGCTGGCGGGCAGGGCGACCGCGGCGCAACTTCTAGCCATGCGGACACGCAGGACGCGCGCCAGGCTTCGCCTGATAGGCATCAAGGTGACGCCAACGCGCCTGACGACCCGGCAACCAAGTTGAAGGCTCTGGTGGTCAAGGTTGCAGACGCCGACGCACCTCGGCACGACAACGGCAACGTGGACGCGGTCGGCAGCAAGGGCGACGGCGACACTGAAGGCAAGGCGAAGGGCACGGCCGGCTCTGTGGTCACGGCGGTTGGCAAGATGGGGGCCTTCGCGGGTACTTCGTGCACGTGTCGCAGCGCTAGCGGCGAGCGCCTCCCTGACAGAGGCAAGGGAGTTTTCGGTCATGCACCTCAGGTGCCTCTGCACGTGAATTTCCGGACGAAAATGGAACCACTCTCATCACCGGCTGCCAAGTACGAATTTCAGGGCAGGCTGAGCCTTCAGGATTCACGCTCGCGTGCAGCGCAGGCCTCCCATCCGGAATTGGCGGGTCAACCACCTCCAGCACGTTTTGCGATCTGTTCAGACCTCAACCTCACCTTCGTCCGTGTTCCGGCTCGGATCTTCGATTGCTACGAGGAGTGCTTCCTGCGCGACGGCTTTGGGGCATCGAGGCGCTCTGGACCGTGGAAAGTCTCACAGACAGGAGCTGATTGACTTCCTGGACCCGGGCATGGAGCTCCACCACACCGTGTTACGTCTGCGGCCTTCCGACGTGGGGCATTCCATCTCCGAGCTCCATGGGCTCCTGAATAGCATCACGGCCGAGCACGAACTCGCCTCACTCCTGCCGTGTTACGACCTCCACGGCCTCGCGCGGAAGATATTCGGGACAACGTCGCTATTGAAGGCCGTGCTGCGTCGACTTCGGGAAGCCCGACGCCAGCTTCGCTCAAATGGGCAAA